ATATATATATGGTTAAGCAAGTTAAATAACATTAATTTAATGTACTATATTTAATGAAATAGCCTGTTATGCTACCAACTACCTTAACATAGAATTTTTAATAAAAGTAGGTGTATCATTAAAGGGCACTCTGAGCACAAAATTATTTTAGAGAAGCAGACGAGGTTATAATAAAATCATCACGCCCTTCCTTTGCCGCTCCTTACCAGATATAATATTTCCGCCTATTGCCGAAGTATTACCTGATGCAATTAAATACGAGTATATATATAGAACGACCAGGAAATAGGTTTAATATTCATAGTCCAAAAGAGAAAGTATGTTAAAAAGAGATTTCTTGTTTTCTTTCCTTAATTTCTTTTGTCAACCCGGATGCACACTTTTTAAAATAAAGTTTCTACAATGTGTTGTATGCTTCATCAGTATTTCATTAGTTATTAATTGGATAAAGCTTTGTATCATCGGCACACCTTGATGGCATAACCTTAAGACAAAAAACAAAAAAACAAAACAAAAACAAATAAACATGCTTTTCAATGTAAACTTACAATACTAATCTCCGCGTTTGCTAACAGTCGTTGTTAAACATTTTATTTTTTGATCTCAGCGGTTTTCCTCTACTCAAAAACTCAAAGCAAGCTTAAAAACCTAACGTGCAAATTTTCAAATGATTTTTTTTTATTATTATTTATTTTTTATTTCAGTTTTTTACACGGGCCAAATGTAATGGCTCTGTGGGCCAAATTTGGCACGTGTGCCGCCTATTAAAATCCAGGGATATACAGTATCTATATCAATATCTATATATAACATTATGTATTATAAGAGTTGTGTCTCTGCTCGTACCAGTTGGTAAATTAAATATCAGAATTTACTATAGGTAAACCAAACATCAGAAAGCAAAAAAGAAGACGAGGCAAGTGAATACCAATAGGTAATAATAGATATGGCTAAATGTTTATCATTTATAAAATCAGAAACTTCATAATGTATGGTTCTAAACTGCTTAATAAGTTGATAAAAACAAAATAACTTATGTTTATGATATTATAAGACATTTATCACCAGCAGATAGTCAGTAGGTCACATGCAATGCTTGGTCAACCATACTAAATATTATATTCAATACCGGAAAAGAAGTTACCTAATGAGGAACTTAAGGGTCTATACCACTTGGAATTTTAGCTAAGTTGGTAGAGTATCGAACGATAATTGCCGATGCTGACATACTTTTCTTAAAAGTAACATAAAACTGGACAGTATGGACAGAGCAAGGAAAGAGGGTTCTGGTATTTTTGTGATAAATTCTACATTGGAATAAGTAGAAACACAATACAGATTAAAACTATTTGTTCGTATACAAACATCAGGTTTTATCAGTCATTTAGAAATGACAAAAGATATAATGTGACCTGCTAGGTCAAAGGTCATGCATGAAACTCATATTTTCATCCCCACATTTGCATATTTTAGCTAATTTACATACATTTGAAGTCAGTCTTACAACAGTACGGTGCTCTTCGCAAACTTTTCAACAACATCAAGGATTTATACAAGGCCAAGAGCTGTATTAGAATACACTGACTGGGTCCTAACCATAATTGGTGTTCGGCATGGATGCCTTCTATCTCCTGATCTGTTTAACGTTTTTTTGGAAAACATCCTGAAACATGATGAATGCGATCAACTTGGAATAAATATAGATGGGTACAGACTACAGAACCTGCGTTTCGTAGACGATATCTTCTTCTAACAGACATTCTTCTAATATACTGCTTGACAAGGTTCACAGGACCAGCAAAGCATATGGAATGGAAATAAACATTCCAAAGACCAAAGTAATGGTTTTCACTCTTGAAGAAGAAGACACATCTTTGATATTGTTTGTTGATGATTGCAACAAACCATCTGATACTCCAATTCAATTGACACATCATACCAAATAACGACCCTACGACAAGTGTTCATTTTATGTGTGTCTTTATTTAGCATATCTTCCAGCTAATCACGCTGGCCGCCCTAGTCACATGATATGATCAACATCGTGACGTAGTCACATCACTACAACTCCTTCCTCTTTAGAAAAACAATGTTATACAGTAATGACTTCACATTTACAGTATATAAATTACTAACTGAAATGATATGTGATTTATGATTTAAACATTTGGTTAAGTAAGAACAAGTACAGACTTCATTTAGTGATATATACGTTGTATTTTTATTTTATTTTATTTTATTTTTTTTTTATTTATTTATTTATTTTTTTTGATGAACAATAAACCTCATAAAGTACTTTACACGTGAGTTTTATCGTGTAGTAATTCTTTCCTGTGTATAGTAGCCTATATTAAAGGTCTAAACGGTTAGGTGGAGTGATA